AACTTACTGATGCTCGCCGGCATATTCCGTATGGAAGCGAACACAATGTAACTTCCAAAGAGCTCCGGGCATGACTCCGTGCTATCCTGAAGAAAGACCGCGAATCTTGGTGGGTCTTATCGTGCGTCATAGATGGAAGTGGCCGCTGTCCTTGGTAACCATCATAAGTTATTCCGCCTGATACGGGGAAACCGGCAGCCGGAGACCTTGTGTTAGTAAAGCTATAGGTGACGAGGGTGGACAGCCTATCAACAATTTGTCAAAACGTTTGGAGCGTTGTGTTGAGCATTTTGAAAAGCAATTTAATTGACCGGAATGGTTTGATTTCTCACCGGCCAGTGATCTCCCTGCTCCGTGAGCTGTCCATTTGTATCCACCCTCTCGCACAAAAGTCGAACGTGTGATCGGACTGTTGAAGTTGAACAAAGCCGCGGGACCAGATAATCTTCCTCCAGCCCTCTTCAAATTCGGGGGCTATGCTCTTGTTGATGATTTACATGAATTACCAGCGAAGTTGTGGGAGCAGGACATTGTCCCAACCGACTGGAGCTGCTCCGTTATTGTTCCCATCTTCAAAGGATGCTCGCTTTCGGAACGCGGCAACCATAGAGGAATCAGTCTGGTCTCCATCGCCTCCAAATTACTCACCTCCATTATCCTTCACAGATTGACTGGCGCTCGTGAAAGCCAGATTCGCGCGGAGCAAGCCGGGTTTCGTCGGGGTCGTGGCTGCATCGACCACATCCTCACCTTGCGTCAGTTGTTGGAGCACCGTCACACATATTGGCGGCCCATCGTAGTCGTGTTCCTCGACATCAAAGCTGCCTTCGATTCGGTTGATCGATGTGCCCTTTGGAATTGTCTACTCAGGAAAGGTGTGCCCGAGAAATATGTAAATATTATCCAAGCATTATACGCGCGTAGCACGGGCAGAGTGAGGGCTTACGGCAAGCTGTCACTGCCCTTCAATATCTCCAGCTATGTGAGACAAGGATAGCCGCTGTCACCTTTCCTCTTCAACTTTGCTATTGACGAAGTCATGGAGATTGCATTTGCTGGATATGACTTGGAAGGTGTGGAGCTACTCCCAGAAAAACGACTTCTTGACTTGGAGTATGCAGACGACATTGCCCTCATCTGTGACAGCTCGCAGACGTGCCAAGCCGCGCTGGACAGATTAGCACTGACTGTCAGCCGCTTCGGGCTTTGCTTTGCACCATCATAGTGCAAAACTTTCTTTCAAGATTGGCAGGGATCACCTGCGCTGACCCTTGGTTGGGATCTGCTAGAAGTCGTTCAGAAATTCAACTACATGGGAAGTTGTATCAGCGCCCTTGGGATTGGAGATAAGATCACGAACTGTATATCGAAAGCTCGAAGTGCTTTTGCTAGTTTTCGCTACTTATTACGGCGGCACATCATCACTCTCGCCCTGCAAGGTAGAGTGTACAATGCAGCGGTACGTTCGACCCTACTGTACGGTTGCGGAACCTGGCCCCTAAAATCAGCGGACATAAAGAGGCTAGTTATGTTCGACCATCGGTGCCTTCGCAATTTTGCTCACATCTGGTGAGTAACGAATGTGTTCGACGCATTGTTTCCGGCACAGGAAAAGGAACTGAACCACTCAGCACCGTGATTTCACGCACCAGGCTCCGATGGCTGGGCCACGTGTTACGCATGCCAGCCCACCGACTTCCGCGACGTGTGTTGTTTGCACACCGTGGGTGTGGATAGAAGAGAAGGGCTGGCCAAGGGATGATTTGGTCAAAAGAAATAAAGGCCCCCATTTCGGAGCTGGGCTTGGCTGGAGCTTCTCGGCTCCCTGATTGGGGTCCAAAAGACGGTGAATATGTTTGGCTGGATACACTTGCTGATATGGCTAGGAGTCGATCTCAGCGGCGTTTGTGTTGAGTTTCTTTGTCCCTCCCTATCTCTTTTAGCTTCCGTCTCCAATCACGATCTCATTTCTTATCGTAATATAATTTTACATAATATTTTTTTCTTTTTGCCAAGTAGCCGGCTGGCAGCTTACCTGAACGATGCCCATCCGTTGCTGGTAGCTCAGCAGACATGCAACTGTTCTATTTATTTTCCTTTCCTTTTATGTATTGCGGCACAGTGGCTGAGGTGTTTCCCACCTCTAGCTAACGTGTATAATGATGAATGATGTTTGTTGTATCACCAGTAGACATACAGCTAACAAAAACCATGGAGATTAGCGTATAAAAGCTAGAGCCGCCGCATCATAATCATCGTTGCACAGTAAGTGCAGGTAAGCAACACACTTCATCTACTGTGTCGCAAGAAGAAAGGAACATTTTTTATTTTTTCCTACGTCACATTTTTACTCCTTTTAATTCTTAGACATTAACCTCTGTATCTAAGTATGTACACAGATCAAACAAGCGTACAATTTGACAAAAAGTGGAACAAAAGATTTTTATTTTGTTTTTTACGGCACCGATTTTTCTCTTTTTTGTTATTTTCAATGTTTGATGTCTTAAACATATGAACCAATCCAATTTTGTACACAATTCTTCCACTGATTCCAGTTGCGGGCCATACCTTTAGGCGTGTTATGCCATTGGCACTCCTCATGCTTGGGTCCCCATCCAGGAAAGCGTACAAATCCAACAGTGGCTTCACGCGAAGTCAGCGATTTCACGTGTTGTCACCAAATGGAAGGCTGATCACCAGTCGGTCGCCTCCAGCCAGGTCCCTGACGAGCGAATAGAGCGCGGCGCGGTAAACACTCACTCGCCACGCATAGGACGTGACTGAGTCATCTCAACTGTCGCAGCAAAACCAGTTTGTTGACAGGAATACTCGCATTCCCCAAGATGCGACGTCGAACGTCACGACCTGATAATGGCACACCTGATTTTGCACTATCCAAATCATATTGCCGCTTTTTACTGTAACTAATCAGTAACACAAAACTGAGAGATCACCTCTTGAAACTAGGACAACAGTACCCGCACATGGAGTGCCTTAGAAACTACATTTCTCTTCCCATGTGTTACCCGTGAAATGCTCTTCCCGAATCGATTGTTTGTGCACATACGCTGGTCATATTTAAAAGTCGGTTGGACGATGCACTCTGCCACTCACATCTTGTTACTGGACATTGCCCTCCATCCTTCTCCCGTGGAATACCTACTATTTATTATTGTTACCTCTTTGATCTGAGAAACTACACGGAGCACAGTTCTACTGCATGAAAAATGCCAAGTCCATACTTTTTGAAGGTAAAAGTAATAACTACATTATTTCATTACCGTTTTCGATAACCCACCACACCACCCAACGGGACTTGTACAAGCTCATTGTTCATTGTTAACCGATGCGAAATTGCGGTCAGTTAGAGCGTAAGTCATCATAAACTGCGTCGCTCTACGAGATTTGTTGATCCTGCATGAACCTTGAAGTCCAACCACACACAATCGGCTGTCATTCTCTAACCAATGGAGCAGCGAGACCTCAACTTTGTCACCCAGTGCGATACCAACACTAGCTGATCCAGTTGCTTCTGTTGGATCGGCATATTTCTTCACCAACGGAAGTTTCAAGTGCTTGTTAGGGGATCACTCTAACCTGATTGAGGTAGAATGTGGTGTCCTACAAGGCACGGTGCTGGGACCGGGCTTATTCCTCGTGTTTACCAACGATATGGCAAGTTATCTTCTTCAATTTCCTGCTTTTCGCCGCTGAAGTCAAGATATGGCGGGCGATTAGTAATAATGATCACGATCTAATCCAACATGACCTAGATTGCATTTATGAATGGTCAACAAGGAACCTGCTTTAGTTGAACATAGCTAGATGCGTCACCAGCTGGTGAGCGCTTACAAGCTTGGAGGCCACATCTTACAGGAGCTTGACCTAGGTGTACTGGTACGGGAAGATCTCGGATGCTCAAAGCAAGCAAGGAAAGTGTCGAGAACCGACAATCAACACTTCGGCATGCTTCGCAGTGCCTTCGGTCGATTTGAACTCTCAATCTGTTTCCCAGATGTTTAACGCCTACGTGCGACCGCACGGTGAATATGCTATCCACACGTCGCAGCCGTGGCAGAAACAGGATCTCATTGCTCTCGAGACTCCTCAACTTAGGGCAATCAAGGACATCAGGAGCCTCTTTCGTCTGCCCTATCAGCTTAAACTGAAATTTACAGCAGTCGATATCGGCTTTTGTGGTGGGATCTTATAATGATTTACCAGATTCCATAGAACCCAAACCACATTTCCCGCCCGCTGCTGGAATTGAACCACAACACTAACCTGAGGTCATCCTCTGAAACTGAAAATACCATATAGCCGGAATGAATGCCGTAGAAATTTCTTTTCTCTCCGCGCGTGCCAATCTTGGAATGTTCTCCCTAATTATGTCGTCTCTGTCCCAAATCTGGTGAAACTTAAAGATCTAGCTGACGATGCGTTGTACATGGCGCTGGTGCTTGACGCCAGTCGAGTTGTGTGCTTGCAACTTGTTCCCCTCCTTGTCTATGTCCTAAAGTAGAATGACTCAGACTTCTCTCTAACCCCCGAAGACCACGCTGAAATTGTCTTCTCTGAAAAAGGCATCAGCAACCCACCGATACGCAGTACCGACGCTTCGCTGCCACGTAACCACCACCAACGGTATATGGCCTATGTATACTGCGAGGGTCGTCCAGTACCTACGTAGGCCCGAAGCAGTGCCCTAGGATTACGATATATATATATATATATCCTGCACTATACACTCGGAGCAAGTGTCACACTAAATTCACTTTTCTCAATCTCAACAATTCATTCATTCATCAGGCTTATGCTTTTACCACTCAGAACTGACGCAGGCTTATGGTTAGGTGCAATGCATCTCATCATCTGCCTTCCGAAGTCGTTTTAGACGACTATTTGCACTCTAGTGGCTCAGTGTCTACTCTTCCTTCACTAATCTCCAGACAACGACAAAATAATTGGTTAGATTCCTTAGTAGACTAAGACAAACATACCGGGTTCCACACTGCTAGGTTCACGCGAATTTCCTCGTCGCTCACTCGCTCTACGTCTGCTGACTGGTGGTCTGACTGGCACCAGATTGATCCCATGCGATTGGTAGGCAGCAGCCATTTCTGGTGGGAGATAAACAAACATGCCTCCGGATGGGTTAATTCCTCCTTGGTTGTATCGGCGGTCATCACCGCCACCGGTACCTCGGCGAATTGGCTGAACTGACTTGCGTCCGCTCAACCGTGGCCCCCCAGGACCGGCTATGATGGGCGCATTGAACGTTCGGCTAGGTGGTCCTCTCAGACTTGGTCCATAGTTTGCTCGTCTAATTCCAGCGGGCCCAGAGACGATCGGCACAATGGGAACGTAACTTGCTTGTCTGGGTATCAGCCCTCCACTACTTCGTCCTCGGCGTGGATATGATACCAGCATGCGAGGCTGATTGGATATAACCGGATGATTTGCGGGGTTAACGTATCTTCCCACTGGCACAGATACGGGACCTGCGGTATCCATACTGTTGGTTGGACTGTTCCTTGTGTTCGTTCTCCGTTGGTCACCTGCAGGCCACTGAAAATGAGAGAAAAACTTATATTCGCATGCAGATACCTGTAGTGAGGTTCGTCAACAACGATACTTTGTACTAGACCTTCGTTATCATGCTACCAGTAGCCCTACTAATCAGCGACACTGAAGAATGGGATCTCTAGTGAAGCCCAAATGCCCACAGTAAACATTTGGGTGCAAAGTGTCTACATTTTGTCAATCCAGCACGGTCACGAACAGCTGTCTGTCATGTGAAAGGTGAGTGCGCTTCCTTGCAGCTTTCGCTGCTTCGTGTCACAGGCTAGCATCAGGTACATCTTAACCAGGTACTCTGACTTCAATTGATATCCATTGATATCAACAACACGGGGGTTACTTGAGAGTACGACAAACCAGCAGCACCGTTTATTTATGTTACTTTATTTCCCCTACGAAGCCAACGAATGTCCCTCTCCAACATTGTGTGATCCTGTATGCGGCACGCAAAACAGGGATTTCTCCCATAAACGGTGGGCAGGCATGCCTGATGCATACATAACTTACACAGTTTCCTTAATCACTCAAAAGAGCTGTCTTTCTCATTACTTCCAGTTGTATTCCGTACACTCAATCGCTACTAACAGGCCGATGCAATACGTTGTGAGCAGTGACACCAATACCTGAGGCGATTACTACCTTCATATCAAAGTAACCAAGTCTCGCTACCGTAAGGTCTTTATATACCCGGCCTGGACAAGCATCAAAAAATTTTCGGCACCGGAGATGTAGCAAATTCTTAAGGACATTTCTTGTTTTCATTGAGCTTGAAACAATCTTATCGGCTGAACTGCTGTTGCTGTCGGTGAGACTAACACGTTGCAAACTTTAACCAAATCTATCTAGCTCATCGTCATCAAATATAAATAACCAGATTGTATGCATTTTTCTGCATGGTTGTTTTCTTCAGGATGTTGATTCAGCTGACTTTATTGCCAAACAAAAACAGGAGGAACACCAAGATTCTTAATCAGTAAAGAAGAGTTTCTCATAATGGAGCTGCAGACGGTTGAGCCCCAGAACCAAGCAGATCGCGCATTACCAGTTCACAGCTCACACAACTGAAAGCATTATTATAGTCAACGGAATATGTACGCATGTTTTTTAGTGTCCAATGATACAAGCAAGAACTGTACAAGCAAGCCGCTGCATCTAAGGGTGACCTTGAACTGCACTAGACGAATGAATGAGGTTCATCCGAACATGTCTGAGTCAACATCCTTCCAGGAACAATTCTCTCAAACCTTCATAGGCATGAACGTGCAAACAATTAGTAGATATTTGCAGCTGTACCTTCCTTTGATTTTCAGGGTTTTTGATGGCTCTTTGTCTATTCGTAGACCGATTCAAGCCCATATAGCTATTTGCATGTTCGTTTTTGCAACAGCGTGGTGCTAGCACTCTATCAACGGTAGACTATCTGGCGTTGCTTTAAGCGCAGCGAAACGCTGAACTAGTGAATTAGCGCATTTCTTTATGACGTCAGACGACAGTCTATCCCGACCAAGCGATTTGTCCGATTGCTACGCTATTAATTCCCTGCGTGTTGGTATGCTGTCTACAGGAACTGAATTAGCTTAGCTCCATTGTAACTGAGTGTTTACTATGCCAGAGATTGAATCGGTGTTCTGGTCACAGAAACCGAGGTTTAATTCTACCGACGATCTAAAGATATGACGTGCTATTATTGCAGTGGATGATCACGTAGCCCTACAACATGATCAGGATAAGGCATACACATGGTTCATTGAGAACATGCCTCAATTCCTCGTCGCCAAGTGCAAAACTCTGAGCATACGCTATCAGAACGCTCAAACTTACCGGTTAGGTCTAAGATTTTTACAGAAGAGTTCTCACGAGTGCGATCTCGATCTCCTCGTGATAAATGACCTTGGTTGTTTGCGACCGACTGAAAAGGCATTAAAGAAAGCAAATCAGCCCTTCGGCCTCCTTCGTAGGGCGTTCCGAAAGTCCGGCACCTCAGTCTTTCCGAAAATGCGGAATTCGCTACCCAAAAGTGGCAACCTTGGCAAAAAATCACCTCTCCGCGCTCAATGCTGCCTAACGCAGGGTGACGGGGAACGTCAGTTTGTCCCCCCTTCCCTGAAACAGGCTGGAAACTCCAAAAATCTACAGCGGACGTTATCAGTATTTACGGGGAGAACACACAATGATTGATCGGATCCTTAAAGAAACCAACCACGTTTATCACCATCTTCCGAAACAGCCGAAACATATCTCTGAGGAGTTAACAGTTTAAGTTGGCTACACAGTACAGCCGACCGGGATATCGACGAAGCATTTCCTCCCTTCGAGTGTCACAGCTGTGGTACTCTCTCTCAGCGCATTTACTTAATGCCCTCATCTTATCACTATTCAACCTACGTCTTGATTATACACGGACACATTTACACTACATGCTATAGTCTATAACCATCAGATGATGGCCTTAGTGCAGAATGAACAGTAGACATAATCCTCTTGAACTTCAGCTAGGAATATTCACACCTGCTACTGTAAACCGCTCGCAAGTCCCTTTAACGAGACTGATTTTATCTTGTAATTACCACCCGAACCATGCTACGTTACTTGTCAAGTATTTACTTTTATGCCCCTCATAAACCATTGATCCAATGGAAGGTATCCGCAGTACGTTGGCACACCGTGCGGACGCTTCGATGCTACTCGACCACCACGTGGATTCGCACTGATGACCTCCGGATTACAAGGCTAGCGTGTAATCCCTTCGACCACTGGTCGACTCCAAAGTAGAATATGTGACCGCGGATGATTACATTTAGCTGCTTCGTCGTCCTCCATATTTCTTGACAATTATTGCCTTCGCTATTTTTATGACCTACATGTTATTGTGGTGGCGCAATTCGTTATTGATTTGTTGAAGTAACGTCTTTACGGTTGTTTGAAGCGTTGTTGTGTTTATCAATCCAACAGATGGAAGTACTTTCCAGTAGACAGCGCCTATTATGGAATTTCAACTGACTGCTTAATTGACCACCCTACTACGAAATGCCCGTATTTTAGTAAATCTGTAGAAATAACTTTTTTCTTTAGGCGTTCAATAACCTGGTAAATACATTGTCTCCGCTTGAATTTGCGATCGTTCATACGACTGACTTGTTTTTTTATCTTACCATAGGTAAGGGGAACCAAGTTTACTGTAAAGTGAGCAGGGCTTCAAAGTGTTAAATTTTGTGTCACTGGCATCAGGCTGATTCCCATTTGGTTAGAGGAAACGGCGCAAATGCTCTCCTTATATATTGCCGCCATAGCCGATTTACGCGTTGACCGGTGGATGAAAACCGTCTGCATTGTAACCCAGAGGCCACCCATTCGAATCTGCGTAAGTGCAGGCGACATAGTGTGTTGGTGCGGAAGGCAGCGATCACGCAGGTGACTGAAAAGCCACTAGAACGAGCTAGGACCAAAACGGATGCAGACATAACGGACGTAGTCAGACGGCACAACCCCAGCTCAACAATAAGAGTGTAGAGCGGACCGCGAGCAACGAACGGGAACGAGCTTGAGCCAAACAGTACAGAGAAGAGGTGTGTCGAAAATCCAATAAATCAGATAGAAACGCCTTTGTCGGTGCATCTATGATCAACAAACCTAATAACGTAACCGAGATCAAGTAAATCGAGAGCCTTAGGACAACTTCATGCTGATCAGAATGGGAGCTACGGAAGCGAAACTATGGGGTCAGACAGGCAGCCAGTGTCTCTAAAGTTGCGGGCCAATGAGGCACAAACCTTCCATCTTGTGTTTTCCCATGTACGTTGTGTTGTGGGACGGAAACGTGGTCGATAAATGCGCGCGTGCGCGCCGCTTGTGAAACCCGTGGTCACGCGCAATAAAGCTTGTGCTTTCTTGCCGCTTCCTTCTTGCTACGATAGCACTAGACTCAACGCACGCGTGATTAGCGGTAGTCGCATGGCAGCTAAGCATCAGTACGGTGTTCTGGTGTACTGTTGTTGCCTTCCACCAGTACGAACTAGTGAATAGATGTTTTGTAGAGGACCTCATCTTCATTCCTAGGTAGTGCGGGTGCGAAATAATCCGAACGATTGAGGAATAGGTTTGCATTTCGAACCTCAGCCTCCGACGAAGTTTCTAATCTAACCCACCACCTTTCGGTCTGCATCAACTGAGTATGAGCAGGTCCAGAAGCGTCACGCCAACTGCACAGCCCGCGAGAGTACTTCACTCAACGAGCCAGTCACTCTTTATTATGAATTAGAGTACCTGTGCTGCCAATAATTGTTTCACTGACGCATAACTGAGTTAGGAGATTTCGTGACAATTGTCTATCGCTCCTGCTTCTTCTATTTCTTGAGCCCTTTGGATCCATCAGGCTTCTTTGTTGACCCGCGGATTCCGTTTCAGTTCTCATCTAGTATTCTGTCTGCTTGCATTGTAGCCAGAGCCAGTAACAGAGCTATCTTCTCTATCCCAACAGTTCCATTGTTAGCCGATGTCCGAACGGATTAAACGTCTTTCTTGTAAACCGGATAGCCGATTCTGGTCTGCATGAGTGTAGCCGACCTCCCAGTATCCCTGACACGCGTGGCAGCGAAGCGGCAATGCTGTACACCAATGTACTATTGATGTTTTCTTTTTCAACTGGTTCATTGACCTCACGGATATTCAGTGACTGATGCGATGACAACTGATAGTGCTGCAAGCAGATGCCACCGTGTCGTGCATGGCGGCCGAGATTTTATTGCTCTGAGGCTGGGTGTTCTTGGCTTAAGTGAATGTTGGTTAAGCAGTAAATCCTAGTAGGCTTACCGAGAGCCGGGATAACGCGTCAGTCACCAATCGAGGGAGGCTTTTGGTATGTTTTCCGACAAAATTTATGGAAAATCAACAGCATACAAGTACGTGATCAGAGTCGATGAACGCACTCCGGAACGACCGATAGGCCAGTCTGGAACCACGTCACCTAATACTTATGGCAATGTAATGCA